ACACTCTGCTCCTGATTGGAGTAGAAGGTGATGGGATAACTGACCACTTTTACCTTGATGAAAACTGAGTCAGAAAAAATATCACTTGGTCAGCAGTACTGATTCTAAATGTTTGTTAAATCCCAAGATATACAAAGATGGAGAATAACAACATGATAAAGTAGCATTGACTCAAATACTGTGGTGCACAGTATAAAAATATCTTGCAGATTAAGAAAAAAGATAGGAAAAAAAGGGGGGGGGTTCACTTAAATGATCACGGTTTCTAAACTACTGTCACACTAGCTTAACTAAATAGATTTTTTCAAGGATCCCTGAAAGATGTTTTTGATTTCTTGTTGAAATTCCAATGGAATTCCATTGTGATAATCTATATCATATTACTGCATATACTTAGCATCTTATACTGGGAATGGGCATGGTCCATATTCTGCATTGCCTAAAGTTATGAATGCATAATGAATGCATAACTAAGGCAGGCCTGGTCAAACTTGGGCCCCCCAGGTGTTTTGGGCTTCAATTCCCACAATTCTGAACAGCCTCAGTGTGCTGGAAATACACCAGTCCCAGATCCTTTGTCTGGCTTTCTTGCTCATAGTTTTAGAGCAGTTACTTTTATGATGGTTTTTATGAGGGTGGAGCTTAGGAAAACCCTTCCTGGTTTGTGCCAGCCATTTTGTTTGCCCTTTTGTCTGAGGAAAAGGGAGCTATTTTGTGTCAGTTAGTTGACCACACCCCCTTTTGCCTGAGGGAAAAGGAGCCATTTGTGACAGTTCATTGGCCACACCCCTTTTCTGAGGTAAAGGAGCCATTTGATAGCATAGACCACCAGGGAATTCTTGAGACAGGATGTGTCTTCAGTCAGTCCCAGAGATTCAGTCATGGACAAGCCATTTCAAATCAATTTAACTTAACCAGTTGTGCTTCACTATCAATAACCACAACCAATAGCTTTAACTAACCTCAACCAGTAGCTTTAACTAATCTTAACCAGTAGCTTCAGCTAATTTTGTTGTGGGGAAATAAAGCTAGTGCCTGGGTGGAGTTAGGCCCAAGTTCTGTTAATAAATCGTTACTTTTTCCTCAAAGCAACAGCATGGACATGAATTCTGTGGGGCTCCTTGTTCCAAAAAAAAGGCAATCCAGTATCCCCCAAGCTGATGGTGAGCTGAGACATGTCATTGCCAAAGAAACAGCTTGGGGCGACAACACACTCAGGCCCTTTCCTTTCCCCCCTCAGCCACTTAAGCGGCTGAGGGGGGAAAAGATGGGGCCTGAGGCTATTTGAAATTGTGGGAGTTGAAGTCCAAAACACCTGGAGGGTCGAAGTTTGCCCATGCCTGAACGAAGGTCTCTTGACCCAACTCCTCTCCTGCCCATCACCATTCACAGAATCTTCTACTTTATCAGGCAGCAGCTGCACTAAGCAATGAAGGTCTGTTCAGGCTTCCTTCCCCATCAGTGAAAAAGAACTGCAAAAAAAGGTCCTGCTTCAGCCTGCTGGTGGGACTGGCGTGGAGATCTCATCATTGCCAGTTGAAGCTATTTCCTTCACTCGGTGCAGCTGCTACCTGATATAATACATTTGGGAGGGCATTTCTAGATGTGAAAGTAGTGTGATTATGGTTGTGTAGAATATGGAGCAGATATAGATTTATAATCTTTGGTTACAAATCTGTGCTTGCTGCAATACATAACGTCAGCTGGTGACTGTATTCGGTCCACTTTCATACATGCACAGTTGCACACATACAAAGAATGATGTAAAAAGCCACTGAAGGCATATACAAAAGCAGTGAAACAGGTTCCTGCACCAGATAATGTCACTTCAGTCCATCATATAGTATATTGCCTTAGCTGAGTGATTTACCTTCTGTATATTTGTCTAGTGATTGATCATCCTTATACGTTGAAAGTTGTCACACAGAATTTGGAAAGCAGATACTTTTATTTATAGGGGTTGTTTTGCAACAATGGACATTTTCAGAAAATGCCTCAAAATTAGGCTTAAGGATTTGGCAAGATGAGCCACCAGCAGAGGGGAAGGTAGAAAAATCCACTGACATGCATCCTTTCATAGAAGAGACCTCATGGGCCATCCAATCCAACCACCCCCCCCCCGCCAAGAAGCAGGAAAATTGCATTCAAATCACCCCTGACAGATGGCCATCCAGCCTCTGTTTAAAAGCTTCCAAAGAAGGAGCCTCCACCACACTCTGGGGCAGAGAGTTCCACTGCTGAACAGTCAGGAAACTCCTCTCTTGTAGTTTGAAGCCATTGTTCCGCATCCTAGTATCCAGGGCAGCAGAAAACAAGCTTGCTCTCTCCTCCCTATGATTTCCACTCACATATTTATACATGGCTATCATGTCTCCTCTCAGCCTTCTCCAGGCTAAACATGCCCAGCTCTTTAAACCTCTAAGAGCTCGGCATGTTTAGCCTGAAGAAGAGAAGGATGAGAGGAGACATGATAGCCATGTATAAATATGTGAGAGGAAGTCATAGGGAGGAGGGAGTGAGATACAACAACCTTTATATGTCAGGTTATTGGTAATTGCAGCTTAACTTGGTCTGACAAAAGCAAACTCTAACAAGGACTTGCAAATTGAATTCCGGATGGGAGAGTTCCAGTTGCCAGCTGTCCCTATGCCGGGTGTTGTTTAGATGGAGAAGAGAAGGTTGAGAAGAGGACATGATAGTCATGTGTAAATATCGGAAAGGTTATCACACTGAAGAGGGGGCAGTCTGGTTTTCTGCTCTCTGGAGACAAGAACATGGAAAAGAAGTTCCACCTAAAATTAGGAAAAACTTCCTGACAGAATATGCTGTTTCAGAGTGTGCTGGAGACTTCTTCTCTGGAGGTTTTAAAAGGGAGATTGGATGGCTGTCAGGAGTGCTTTGAGTCTGTATTTTTACCTAGCAGAATGGGGTTGGACTGGACGGCCCTTGAGATATCTTCCAACTCTTATGAGTCTATGAGCACATTTTCACTGTAGAATTAATGCAGTTTGACGCCACTTTAACTCAGTGGTACAGAAACATGGGTGTTGCAGTTCACGGAGGCAGAGGAGACTCAAGACCTTGTATAACTACAGCCCCCATGATTTTATAACACTGAAACGTGGTGGTTAAAGTGATGTAGAACTGCATTAATTCTACAGTGGAAAGGCACATGGCATATAGATAATGAAGGAAAAGTCACAGCTGCCACCTACACTTCCAACCTAGATGAGAACTCCCAGGTTTGCATAGCATTGAACCATGACAGTCAAACTGGTGACGGAGGACATTCAGTGTACCCTAAGAGCCCATGTATTGAAGGAAAGGGCAGATCACGGCATTTCTTTGCCACCAGCATTGGGGACTAGCAGGGGGAATGCTCCTGGGTGGGACTTTTGTTGGAGGGGGGTGGTGGGCTTTGAATGTAATTTTAAATGGAGTTTCTTGTATTTTAACTGGTATCCCCCAAAAATATTTATTTTAATTTATTTTATTTATTTAAAAGTTTTGTATCTGTCTTATTTAAAAATTTTATGAGGTGTGTTTATTTGTGAGCAGCTTTGAGTCCCTATGGGGAGAAAGGGGAGATAGAAATAAAGTGGAGGAGAAGGAAAACAGAAGGAGAAGGTGGAGATCAGGAGAAGAACAGAAGGAGGAGGAGGTAAGGAAAAAGAGAGAAGGAGGAGAAGAGCGGGAGAAGGAGACAATAAGGAGAAGAAGATAAGGCAAAGATCCTCAAACGTTTTAAACAGAGGGCCAGGTCACAGTCCCTCAAACTGTTGGAGGGCCGGATTATAATTTGGGGGGAAAAATGAATGAATTCCTATGCCCACTGCACATTTCTTATTTGTAGTGCTAAAAACACTTTAAAACAATACAATAATTAAAATGAAGAACAATTTTAACAAATATAAACTTATTAGTAATTCAATGGGAAGTGTGGGCTTGCTTTTGGCTGATGAGATAGGATTGTTGTTGTTGTTGCTGTTGTTGTTGTTTGCTTTCAAGTCATTTCAGATTTAGGTTGAACCTGAGTGAGGGCCAGGTAAATGACCTTGGAGGGCCGTATCCGGCCCTCGGGCCTTAGTTTGAGGACCCCTGAGATAAGGGGAAGAGAAGGAGGAGGAGAGGAGGAGGAGGAGGAGGAGAAAAGGAGAAGGTGAAGATAACAAGAGAAGGAGAAGAGAGGGAAGAGAAGGAGAAGAAGAGAAGGAAATGAAGAGGAGGAGGAGAGGTGGAGAAGGTGAAGAGAAGAGAGGAAGGGGAAGAGAAGGAGGAGAAGAGGAGGAGGAGAAGAAAAGGAGAAGGTGAAGATAACAAGAGAAGGAGAAGAGAGGGAGGAGAAGGAGAAGAAGAGAAGGAAATGAAGAGGAGGAGAAGAGGTGGAGAAGGTGAAGAGAAGAGAGGAAGGAGAAAATAAGGAGAAAAAGAAGATAAGGAGGAGGAGAAGAGAAGAAGAAGAAAAGGAGTTGAGATTGTGAAGATAACAAGAGGAGAAGAGTGGGAAGAGAAGGAGAAGAAGACATGGAGAAGGTGAAGAGAAAAGAAGATGAGAGGAGGAGGAAGGAGAAAATAAGAAGGGAGATGAAAAGGAGAAGAGAAGGCGAAGACAAGAAGTAAGAAAAGGGATAGAAGAGAAGGTGAAAGAGAAAGAGGAGAAGGTGCAGATGAGAAGTAGAGATGGAGAAGGTGAAGAGGAGGAGAAGGAGAAGGGGGAGAAGAGGAGAAGGAGACAGGGAATGGGAAGAGGAGGAGAAGTAGTAGTAGGAGAAGTAGATGGGGAAGAAGTGATGAAGGCGTGGAGGTCCTCCCCGTCCGGGCTGCCTCCCCCAGTTCGAGTCCATGGAAGAACCGCCCAGCTCGGTCCAGGGAGGCCGCCGCGAGGGAAGGGCGCCTGGTCCGTGGGCGAGGGCAGGGTTGAGCAAGGCAGGGAGGAGCAGCCGGAGGAGGCTGATAAAGCCGCTCCCCGCCCGGAGCGCGCCTCGACTGGGGCCCCGTCCGTCCGTCCCTGCCTTCCCCTCCCCTCCCCGTCGGTGCCGAAGCCCGCGCGGCGGAGGAGCCCTGCTGCTGCGCCCAGAGCGATGGCGAGGCCGGGGCTGTGCGGGCGAGGCGGGCTGCCGCTCTGGTGCTGCTGCCTGCTGGGCGCCTTGTGCGGGGCGCGCGGGGCCCTGGAGCTGACGCTGCTGCACACCAACGACGTGCACGCGCGGGTGGAGGAGACCAGCCGCGACTCCGGGAAGTGCCCGGAGGGCTCGAGGGCTTGCTTCGGCGGCGTGGCGCGGAGGGCCGCCAAGGTGAACGAAATCCGGCGCGGAGGGGGACACGTCCTGCTCCTCGACGCCGGGGACCAGTACCAGGGCACCGTCTGGTTCTCCTACTTCAAGGGGCTCGAGGTGGTGCGCTTCATGGAGCTCCTCCGCTACGACGCCATGGTGAGCGAGGGAGGGAGGGAGGAAGGGAGGAAGGAAGGGCCATCCCTCGGGGGGGGGGGGGTGGGGGGTCTTGGTCTTACCCCTTCCATCTCATTTTTGGAGTCTGCGGCATTATTATTGTAGCAAGCGTTGGGGGATTTGGAAGCCCGATTCCTCTCCAAATAGCATCCTTTTTGGGAAGCGTTGATGATCTTGTCCTGTTTTGCAAGCCCGTGTTTAACTCGGGGCTAGAGGAAACTTGGCGCTGTCCACGCAGAAAAGGGAATAATAGTCAAGAGGAGAGAGAGTGGAGGCATCTTCTGGAGCCAGAGCCTGGGCTAGTGAAAGGTTTGCCGCCTTTCCTGGTCCCTATTTCAGAAATATCCTGTGCAGGGCTAGTGAAAGGTTTGCCGCCTTTCCTGGTCCCTATTTCAGAAATATCCTGTGCAGGATTTTCTGCCAAATTTGATGAATTCAGGAACTGTAGGGGGAGAGAAAGGGTGAAACCCTCCTTGCCTGTAAGGTTGTGATTGCAAAGAGTCTCTTTCCACCCGCATAGGCAGCCTCTCTCTGTGTGTTTTTGTATTTGTTATTGTATGCCTTCCCATTTCCAACTTCTGGCTATCAATCACTGTGTTTTCTGGGGCTGAGAGAGTGTGACTTTCCCAAGGTCACTTGGCAGGTTCCCAGAGCTGAGCAGGGGCTCAAACTTGGCCCCTCCCTCCAGGTGTTTTGGACTCCAACTCCCACCATTCCTAACAGCCTCAGGCCCTTTCCTTTCCCCCCTCAGCCGCTGAGGAAGGGACCTAAGGCTGTTAGGAATGGTGGGAGTTGGAGTCCAAAATACCCAGAGGACCCAAGTTTGCCCATGCCTTTTCTAGATGGATTTGTACCTGGTCTTTATAATCCCTTATATCATTTCCAAATGACAGTGCCCTGTCAGTTAAGAAGACACAGTTTCCACCAAAATTGTTACAACATGACATTGTAAACCTGACTCTCGTGTGTGTGTGTGTGTAAATATGTGCATGCCACTTCTGCACAAATGTCCTCCTCTCTATTTTGGAGCTGGCTTTAAGGGAATTCCTAGCTATTTAGATGTTGTTGAACTGCCTTTCTCACCAACCCCAGCCAAGGAAAAGAGGAAATTATGGTCCAGCAACATCCTGATGACCAAATGTTCACCAGTCCTGAGTTAGACACAATCCTCTAGGTCGATAAAAGTTGTTTTATATGCCATAATGTTAAATAAACTACGTGTAGGTCACGTCTGATCAGCCCACACGCTGCCTTGCCAGAGAAAGAAAATATGCCACACAGTAGCATAGTAGTTTACTCTTCATCATTCGGAACAACTTATGTACAGTGTGATCAGTCGCATCAACTCACGTAATGTCCTTTTATGAGAGATTTAAAATGGTCTTTCTTTGTCCATGTGGATAAACTCCTTCAGCAACTCAGGAAGCAAGAGCACACTTCAAACTGTCTCTCTCTCTCTGCTTCTCTGAATACCTGCATAGCACAAGCCCGAACAAAAATGTAACAATATCCAAAAGTCCCCGGCTTAGCCTGCTCCCTGGACATTGCCTGACCAAGCAGCTTCATGCATCTTATTTTACAGTTGACACATACACGCACACACACAGACTCCTTGCATGCTCCAACATATCTGAATCCCAGGCTTTCTTCCTAATGCCTTGTTTATGATTTTTTTTCTTGCACATCTGGTGGGGCTCTTTTACAAATGAAGTGCTGGACTGACAATCCTTTCATCTGACCCAGCTGGGCCATTTGGAGATTCATCTTGGTGAAGCATAACTTTGCCACAGTAACTTTTCCAATACGGCTATCTCTAAAAACTGTTAATGTCAGCAAGTACAGAATACTTCCCTGAGGCCATTCGTTTGTACATCCAATAAATAACTTTTTAAAATAGTATTCAAAGAACTTTGCCTACAGTTAGCTGACAGTTCAAAAGTCAGATGGAAGATTTGAAAGAGGGGAAGGAGATCTGGAACAATGGCATTTAATGAGCTGCCTGCTTCCAGTTGCACTTTCCTCCAGTGCTCCAAAGGTGAGCCTGTGTTAGCGCACCCCAGGCCTGGAAACGCCTATGGCCGCAGCATCGCACAAGAGGGCAGAGTATAAGCAAACAGTTTATTGTGAAAAACACATAAAAAGTACTGTATATTCCGGCATATAAGACGACTGGGCGTATAAGATGACCCCCAACTTTTCCAGTTAAAATATAGAGTTTGGGATATATTCACCATATAAGACTACCCCTCTTCCAACGCACACCATTTTTTTAAAAAAAAGCATCAAATTTGATTTCAATATGGTAATTTTCCTATTACTGTACCTCCTTCTCTGCCTCTCAGATCTCGCACATGTGCACCTGCACCGCTTCACTGCAGTCTTCAGGAGCAAGATCTGAGAGGCAGAGGAGGAAGTCAGACAGGTAAAAGAGGTGTGTTTGTTGGGCCCAGAGCCACTCTATCTCTTTTTTCCATACCCCGGGTGCCCCGGATGCCTGCAGCTTGCTCCACCCTTCACTTACACCTTCCTGGTGAGGTGCCCCTTCACCTCACCATCGGGACTGTGTTAAGTCCACGAATCCTGATGAATGGATTTTCTTCTATCGTACTTGTGCAGCGTTGCCCTTAATGCTTTCATACAGTCGCTGCATACGGCAGGGACATGGCCACTGCTATTTTTGAGCTCCCCCTACCATATGCGGCAACCACAGATTCTCCAATAGGATTGGAAGTTTCAGCACCCGCTCTATAAGACTACTCCCATGTATAAGACTACTCCCGTGTATAAGACTACTCCCGCGTATAAAACTACTCCAGCATATAAGACTACTCCAGCGTATAAGACTACTCCAGCGTATAAGACTACTCCTGTGTATAAGATTACTCCAGTATATAAGACTACTCCCATGTATAAGACTACTCTTGCGTATAAGACTACTCCAGCGTATAAGATTACTCCCATGAATAAGACTACTCTCGCGTATAAGATGACCCCGCGTATAAGACGACCCCGCATATAAGACGGCCCCTGACTTTTGAGAAGATTTTCTTGGGTTAAAAAGTAGTCTTATATGCCAGAATATACGGTAAATGAAAAATCAGGAATAAAGAAAGATGTATAATCCAAAGAGGTTTAGCAATAGGTAATAATCCAGCAAGAATCCAAATGTCTCATACTGATTCAAGATAACACAGTCCAGGAATAGCCAAAAATCACAAGAGCAGCACAAGCAAAAGGTATACTTAGTAAAACTTGAACAGGAATATAGAATCGGGAACATAGAAACTTCCAGAAATACTTGAATCCAAAAACAAGGCTTGACTTGGAACAAGAACTATAGAACTCACCACTAGCTTCTCACTTGAATGCTACGTTGCCTGAACTAACCCCTTGGGTAAACATTTGGCTCTTTAATAGACATGCATGAAAGCATTCCATTTCTCATGAATTTTCTTCACAATTTCCCACATAATCACTCTGACCTACAATGCCTATTTTCTGTTCTGATCTGTAAATAAAGACTTTTGTTGATCTCAGTTGTTCCAGGTGTTTTTTCCTGGGAGCCTTCCGTATCACTTAGCTCCTCACTCAACTCCTTATCTAATGTTGCAGTTTCTGGCTCCTCTGGCTGATCTTGAAGCCCTGTACTTTCCAAATAAGGTTTTTCACAGAGAGAAGCAACATTTCCCTGGCTTGAATCTTCATCCCTTCCTTTCCCAGGAAATCCTACAGGAAATCCCACAATCCTCTCTAAATCATCAGTGAACCCACCAGCCTCAGGCTGATCTACAACAGTAGTGCGGGTGTCATATCAGTGGAAATTCATCTCATTATACTTCATAGAAAAATAATGTGTTCTTAGGCACTGATTTAAATGCCCCCCCCCCCAGGTTTTTCTATGACTGTATAAAGCTTGTGAAAGCAAAGAGGTAAACATTTTTGGCAGTGCACATGCACTATCAGATAAGAAGCAAAACAGATTACCGGTATGTTCCAAACATCCTGCTTAGAAACGATTCACTGTTAAGAAAGAAATTATCATGCGGAAAAGCTTGAAACCAATCCTTGTTTCCACAACAAGCGGATTTTTTCAAAATCCAATTCTCATAGGGACAGAAAGTGAGGTGAAATCTTCTGAATGGGGCACATACAGCAAAACAAGCTCCACAGGGGTGTTAATCCTTCCCTATTGTATCCATATTTGGCTCGAGTTACACTTAAAATTATACCTGTTTCAACTTACATACAAATTCAACTTAAAAACAAACTTACAGAACCAATCTTGTCCATAACCTGGGGACTGCCTGTAATGAAAAAATGCCTATCTGGATATTTTAATTTGAAAAAAACCATACTATTTCAAGCAATCAAAACAGTATCTCTACCTTTCAAAGGCAACTATAACTCAGTGCACAAATTTAACCCAGTGCACAAAAACACATTATTTTTATATGAATAGATAGGAGATTAATTAAGGATTATGAGCAAGGATTATGGAGGAATGGTACTATGCCCTTTATGTGTTTTTAACTCTGTTATTAATTAAAGTACCGTATATATTTGAGTATAAGCCGACCTAAATATATGCTGGGGCGCCTAATTTTACCACAAAAACAACTGGGAAAATGTATTGACTCAACTATAAGACGAGAATGGGAAATGCAGCAGCTACTGGTAAATTTCAAAAATAAAAATAGATATCAAAATTACATTAATTGAGGCATCAGTAGTTTAAATGTTTTTGAATGTTTACATAAAACTGTAATTTAAGATAAAACTGTCCAACTATGATTAAACCATTATTCTAACCTTCTTCAATATAAATGTGCTTATGTATCCTTCCAATAATAATAGAGTAAAATAAATGTAATAAAAATAATAGAGAAAAATAATTGAAATATAATAATAGTAATAATAATAGAGTAAAATGATAAATGTAATAATAGCAATAATAAATAGAGTAAAATAATAAATGTAATAAT